ATGTTTTCCAGCTTGGAAAATAAACATTTCGGTATAACCTCTGTTTATGTTTGGAAGCGAGGAAGCCTGCTATTAGGTAAATATTGAGAACATCTACATACTGGTGGCTGGAGGGGTGTGTGGGTGTACTCATTCCCCCTCATTTACTTGATTTGTTATATATGTTCTTTTCTTAACACACCCGCTCTGTTCACCATGAGGGCATGGGCTAGATGGGCGTTTAGCCTGATCTGAAATCACTGTTTGGTGCTGCAGAGCTTGTGCGAGGCAGCGGGCCTGTCAATCTGCCACCTTGCTTTTTACAGTCTCCTAAATTCAGTGGCTGGTCTCTGCACGATGCTCCTGTGTCACTCTTCAATGAGATCTTGCTTGCTGTGCTCCCAGGGGAGCATAGGAAAACATGTGTGCTGTTACTATTACTAATAAAAAAAGGCTTAATTGTGTTGTAATCTATTACCGTGATTACTTTAAGGCTTTTTACATTGCTTTTCTGAATATCTTTTTTTATTTCAAAGGAAAATCCTATTGATGGGTACAGCAGTGTAACAGTAGAAAATGTCACGTATGGGGATGTACCCGAGCGACCTTTGCCGTGCGGGTGTTACACCAGCAGCTGATGGATGGCAGGACAGATTGATTTCCAATAGATGAGACCCAACAGGCTTTAACTATTTGAGGCAAAGAGTTACACAAACAACACTTCATCCTGCAGCTCTTCCTCTTGTCCTCTTGCTGTCGTTACACCCCCACTATAAGGACTTAGCTGAAATTACCCCCTGGAATAAAAAATAGGGGGGAGAGAAAGGAGGGGATGGGAAGGGCAGGCTCAGGTGAGCTCAGGGGCAGGAAGGCAGTGTAATGAGGCTGCCAAGTGGGTGAGCAGTGTGCTGCTGCATGCAGATGTCCTCAGATGACTTGGTGGGTTATTTATTCTCCTTTCCCTCCACATGTGTAATTTCCACTGCCATAAACGCGTGTTAGGCATGAGTGAAGAGGAGAAAAAGGGAAGAGGCTTTTTAGTATTTAGCCTTGTAGTTACTTCTGCATGTAGACGGCCATTGCAAATACCCCATAGTTGAAGGCATCCAAATTTAACCACGGATGTGGACAACTCCCTTCACTGAGCCTGTTTTTATAGCGGTATTTGGATATTTGAACCATTCATGGTGGTTGTTGCTTTACCAGAGATTAGTGGCTTTTAAAAGTCTGGGTCTCCTAAAGCGGTCTAGAGCTGCTTTGTTTTGTAAAATGCTTTCTGTGTACAGAAGGACAAGATATATCCTATAGGAGATTGGCCAGAACACAGAACATGAGTGGGGAGAAGGTCTACAATGACTTTACATCCTTTGACATGAAATGTGAGAGGCATGAGGGACTAGTGCATTGGGCACCCTGTCCATGGGCAGACTTCAGCACTGCTTTGATGGTTTCTGCACCCAGGGGTGCCAGGAGCTGTTCAGTGGATGTGATAGGTGCAAGCTGAGGAGCTGCCACCTTGGTGATTGAGTGGGAAGGTGGTTCTGGGGGTGCAGTAGCAGTATGTTTCATCATTTCAGAATCACTTGCATGTTGTTGGAGGGTTGTTCATGCCTGCTCCATGGTATGCTGCATGGGATGGGTGAGCACCCAAGGCCTCTGGAAGAGGGATCTGTTCTATAGGATGTGGCTGTATATGTAGATCCACATGATCGTGTGGTAGATGGTCTCCTGCAGCTGGGCCTGGGATATGACTGAAGTTTTGCTGTGCTCTCCCTTTCCTTTTCACTCGAGGCAGCATCAAGAAATGGGGAGAGCAGTGCCCCAAAGTGCTGATTGTGTATGAAAACTAATCCAGGCTTTGCTGAAATCAGTCTTCTGCTTGCTAGCACTTATATTTGTTATAATGCAGTGTGAGGTGAATGTAAGTATGGGTGAGGATCACTTGGGAGATGTGTGGCATTTGGAGAAAGTTAGCAGAGCAATGCAGCCAGGTAGGAATTATGCTTTTAGGAAAAGACAGAAGAAAAGTGGCATGTGTTTTAATGAAAAATGGCTCTGTAAGATGGAAGCTGTTGTGCTGTGTGAGATGTCAGTGGCTGGAGAATGGGAGATGGAGGCCACATACAGCTCAGAGAAGGCTCAAGGCTGACTGTGGATGTGATCCACCAGTGTAGGCAGCGTGGAGACTTCTGCTGCTGCCCATGAAAAAGCAAGTGCCTGTCGTATTTTTTGTCTTCCTGAACCATTTCAAAATTTCAATCTCTCTGAAGCCAGCAGTGTCCCAGTCAGTGGCTTTGTGGGCCACCTGCTAATGTCCCCTATTCCTGGTGCAAAGGACTGGATTGCTCTTTGCTGTGTGTGGGCTTCTTGCTGCATGGGAGAGCACCAGGGGAAGCAATTACCCCATGCTGATCCTTGAGGAGAACAGTAACAAAACCAGAAACTACATCAGCTAAATTGGGAACATATTTTCTTAAACTCTGGTAAATGTGAGTGCATGAACTTCAAGGAAATCAGCTGTTGGGCTTCTAATGGAGCAGCAGGTATGAAGCAAGTTGGTAACTGGAATGCTTCTTTAGGTGATTTACTTATGTACTCACCACCCACTCACAAATGCTGCTCCTCCGTTTCCATGCCTTGGAAGTTCTCCTTTATCTGCTGAATGCCAAGACAGGATACTTTGCCAGTTGAGGTGTTTGGCCCTGATCCAGGAAAAGACTTAAGCGTATGCTTAAACCTAGATCAAGGAAATGTTCTCTTGAATTTAAAGGTGGGCAAACTCTATAATACTATAAGGAACTTGTTGTGTTTTAATTCTCATGTGAAGTTGCAAGAGGGTTGGGCCTTAGTGAAGCAACTGGCTCTTGATCTTTCTTTTGAGGAATAGACATGAACTGATTGACCTCTTGAAGTTCTTCTTGACCATGTTTCCCATGGTAGATAACAAGGCTATTGAAATTGTGCAATGATGATTGAGTGTCTGGAAGGGATATTAAACCTCTGCACATCAGCTCTCACTTCTGGAGATCAAAATGACATCTTGTGTGTGGGAAAGAGGCAAATGGTCTCCCAGCTGCAGGGTTCTTCCATCTTGCTGTCATGTGCTTCTGGTTGCCCACTGACAGAGTCAGGATGCTGAACTAGATGGACCAAAGTTCTGATTCAGCCTGGCCACTTCTGTTGTGCCCCGAGTCCTGTGGACCTCAGTAACACTGAAACACGTGTTTAAGCTCTTCCTAGAAAGGCAGGAATTTCTGCACACATCTCTCTGCCCAGCTGCTTGAAGCTCTGCAGTGAAGAGAGCACATTGCTGTTAAGTGCTTGGCTCATCCCCACCACATCCTTTTTTGTGTTTTGATGGGACAATCCTAATCTATAGCATGCTCTATTTTAAAAATAATTGCAAGCTGTCTTAAAGTCAGGCCATGCTCCACGTTGCAGTTATGCCATAGGGTAGGAGGTTTCCATTAGTGCCCGTGGAGGGGACGTGTCCACAAACAGCTGGGAGAACACAGCAGAGAAAAGAACCCTTGAGCTTCACGGCTTTGCTTCTAAACCTGTGTGGCAAGAGTACTGAGAGGAATACATCGTGTGGCTTGCAGCCCTTTGAAGTGGCTGGGTTCACTACTGACAGGATGGTTTCCCCTATCTCCACTCCTACAAAGAGGACTGGGAAACATGCCTGTGATGTGGGACTCTTACATTTCCAGCCTTGATCACACTGACAGCTTTTCCCATATATCATTTCCCCCCACCTCCCCCCAGCAGTTAATCACCAAAGCGAGTTGAAAGCAGGGAAATGCTCTGCCTCCTTTTGATGGGTTACTGAAGAGGGATGGTGACAGCTGTGTTTGGGTTCTGCTGCCCATCCACCACTCCAGGATGATCAGATGGGTGGGAAGTTTACAAGCCACCTGTCACTTCCTGTGTCACTGTATTCGTATGGAAGCTTTGGCAATAGCTGGTGTTTGTCTTGCATCCAATCCATGCTCAAAACAAGAGTCCTGAGTATGTACCTCAGTGCCCAGTCACCTCCAGTGCATGTCCCCAAAATGCACTTGTTAGCTGGGCTTTTGCTTTGCAAAGCAACTAACTTGAAAACTGCAAATTTCAGTTCTTTCTTCTGAGGCAAATGTGCCCCAGATGAGGCTTTGATCTGGGAAGCTCAGCTGAGTCTGACCTGGGCTGTGCAAGGATCCCAGAGACCAGCTGGCTGTGATTTGCAGGTCAGATGGTTGCTGCTGTATGGTGATGGCTTTCTTGATCTACAGCTCAGCTCTGCCTTTTAAGAGTGACTTGTTTTGTGTAAATTGAGCTTTGCTAGGAAATTGTTATATGGCTAAACTAAACTGAGTAAAAAAAATAAATTCTGAGTCAACTCAAATTGAATGTCAGTAGTTCCTGGGTCTCTGCTTTCCAGAACTATAGAATATTCTCTGTCTTTTGGAGAATGAGCCCTTTAAAGAAAGCTGAGAGTGGCACATAACAAACAACTGAGAGTCCCTAAAAAATTAGGCTGTGCCTTTTTATCCAGTACAGGAAACAAAATTGCTGCAAATGGTGGTACAGAAGTGTAGCATGAGAGCCCCCAAGGTGGATAACCACTGTTCACCAAGAGGGCACTGCTCAGCTGGTTGCGTGCAGTCGTGTTTTCAGGACTTGCTGCCCAAAAAGCTGTGAGTTATGGCAACTCATTAGCCTTTAGCTTCTGGCCTGTTTACAGCTTGTGAATTAATGGGTTAGTGATGTGTCTTCACATGGGAGACGAGCAAGAGGAAGATGGGAAGTGGCAGTTATTTCTAAATGGTGAATGTAATTTTGAGCTGAGAGGTCCTTGGCAATCAAATTCTTTGCCTATCAGAGGTACTATCCTCATTCTAGACTGTGGCCACCCAACTTCTAAACCAGACATGTAACTGTGGCTTCTGAAAATATTCTGTGCCATAACAAAACCAGAAGGACTAACTCTGCATGATAATGTTGATACTTTAATGCTGCTTTTTTTTCACTAACTTGCACAGGGACTCTCCAGAGGGATCGGGTATTTAAGAACCTCACTCGGAAGCGCCAGCGGGCGATGCGAAGGCGAGTGCATCAGGTGAACGGGCACAAGTTCATGGCTACCTACCTGCGCCAGCCCACGTACTGCTCACACTGCAGGGAGTTCATCTGGTATGTACCTTGGAAGCAAGCTATCAAAGTGTGGGGATGGGGCAGTGTTCCTCACTTGTGAGTGTAGACATCATTTCAGGGGGTGAGGGAAGTAACCCAAGTGATCTGATGAAAGACTCAAGATGTTGACTCGAGAGGATCTTTTGGATTGCACTGAGGAAAAACAGTTGCTTGAAAGACTAGAGAAATGCCTGAGATCAGAAAAGCCATCAGAGGTGTGAGGTGTGGGGTGATACATGTGGGGGAGTAGGCAGAGCAAGGAGAAAAACTTAGATACGTCTCAAAAGAGCGTGGAGTGGGAGAGATAATAACAGGGTGTGGGCTGCTGGGATCGGTCTCATAAGTGTGGTGTGTGTTGTAATAAAGTGAGGTATTCCAGAAACTGGAGTGAGGGGGAATATGGGGAACAACATGCATGCTGACAGCCCACCCTGGAAGCTGCAGCCCCTGCAGTGCTTTCCTGTGCTCTCATCCCCTTGTACTGAATTGCACCATTATTGCTGGGCAGCTTTGCCCCAGGCTTCTGGTCATTTGGGATCCTCTTGCATTTTGTCTCTTTCTTCTGTAAATGATCTGCAAGAAAACTGCCTTTCTGATGTTAAATAAAGTTCATATTTTGTTTTGAACAGGGGCGTGTTTGGGAAGCAGGGATACCAGTGTCAAGGTAAGGTGCTCTCCTCCTGCATGGTGTGTGTATGGGATGTGCTGTTTTGGGAGCACTGTCCTGTGCTGCTGGGACATCCTCTGGTTGGAAATTTCTCTGAAGTCCCCACTCCTCTTCCTCCCCAGCCAGCTAAAACCATGCATTTGAGCAGCTCTCAGGCTGATGGCTTGAATGCATGCAGGAGCAACCACCTACATTCCTGCAGACACCAAGGGGCCCAATTTCTGTGTCTCATCCTGTGCAGATCTACTGAGTGCATGCAGCAGCCGGCTAGGCTTGAGACATCCAGGATCCTTTCAGGACAGTATTCGCCTGGTATTGGGGCACAAAGTACCCTACTGGAATGGCCACCCTCTTCCTTTCTCTCCCTATGAAGTTCTACAAAGTAAAATTAGGGATGTGACTTCAAAGGGCAGCCTTGTGGGCTGACACAGCACTTTTGTCTGAATGCATGTTTTGGCTGTAGAGATGTATGTGGTGCTTGTTTGCACTTAATTATTGTTCTGTCTTCCCCTCTTTCTCTGCTAAGATGACAGAATTATTCACTTCACAGGTGCATGGTCATTCAATATAGCCTTCTAACACAGCCTCTTTCTTGTGCAGTGTAATAGAGCACTGGTATCCTCTTATGAAGGGAAGCTGCCTGTAAACAAAATGGATATCCTGTGTAAAATTTCTGGGTGAAAGTGAATGCTGTTGGCAGCCCTTCATGAGTGTAAGCTTAAGTCAGTAACAAACAGAAGAGCGTGGGACCCTGTGACATACCTGCAACCTGCAGTTCCCATGACAGAAATCCCCCTGTGCAGACAGTAGCCACAGCCTGTGGTAGTGTCTGCAGCACACGGTGGCTTATGGAGAGGAGGAGTCCAAGTTCATTCCAGCCAAGCCACCTTCAGACCTGGAGAGAGCCCAACTCTGCTTCTGGGCTAGCTAATTAGCCCAGACACAGCACCATTCTGCTGCAGTCATCCAGCTTCCCAGACCCCAGCATTGCACTGAGCCTTGGTGACAAACTAACCTGAGAAGGACTCGCTTGGCTATCCAGTGCGAGCAGCACTGTGACACTGGGATGTAGGGATGACTTCGGGTGCCTTAGACCTGTGTTCTCTAATGTTCCTTGTGTGTGTTGTGTGAAATGCTCGCCACTGGATAATTATTTCAACAGCATGGTTTTTTAGTTCATATGAGAAGCTACACTTGTTTCTGAGTGCATCACCCATATTTCATAAAGGCAGCTGTTTCCTAGGCTGTATGAATGATCCAGGGCAGAATTTCAGTTGCAGTGGCTTGGAGATGCACCTCCAGATCTGTTAGGAGATTTTCAAAATTCCAAACCACCAATTATTCTTCACATCTTTACTGTGCCCTGATGATACAGCTGAGCCTTAAAGAACACAGCTAGTGGATTGGTGTGTTTGGAGTCTTTCAAGAGCTTTTTTTCAGCATGCCTCTTTTATTTCCTAGTCTGCACCTGTGTTGTACACAAGCGCTGCCATCATCTAATTGTTACAGCTTGCACGTGCCAAAACAGTACTAACAAGGCCGATCTCAAGGTAAAGTTACGTTGGTTATCTTGGGTTATCATAATTTGTGACTCTTCACGGTTGTCTGGGTTCTTACTCTGTTTATTCATGGATTAAAAGTGAGAAAGAGTGATAGGAACATGCATAAAAGCCATGCAATAGCATCTGGGGGTTGGCATTTATTAATGCCAGTAACTGGTGTGACAGGCACATGGTTTAGAAAGGCAGGTTGTCTTTATTGGAAGACATCAAGAAATAGCAAATCCACTGACTCCCTTGATAACTTTCTTGCATGACTTACTGTGGTGCCATCAAAATTTGGTACCTGGTTCTTAACATGGATTTCTCTAGCTTTAAAATCCAACCACTGATCTTTGTTATGCCTCTTTTTTTTTTTTTTAATGGTAATTTAAAGTGCCCATTTAGTCATTGCTCCACACCTTTACTCTATGAAATTATTTATGTCGTAACAAGGAACTGTTGCATAACTTGTGTTTCTGAAGGTTTTCTTTCTTGCAAGTTTTGGCTGTATTTGAGGGGAGTAGCATCCCCACCTAAAACTGCACTGTGCCTTGCATGTCTCATTCCTGTAACTGGAAATTATTTAATAACTGTGCAAGGAAAATTAAATTGAAATACTTTTAATTGGGAGGTAGCTCTGCATGGCGTGCCGCACGGAAACCTTCTTTCCAGTGCAGAGAAGCAATTGCCTTTGCTCATTATTTCCTGCCTCCCAACCACTGAGCTAGACTTCTTAAAAAGACCCCTTGGCAAACAAGATGAAAATAATTTAAATGCTTAAAGCTAAAGTGCAAGTTAAATAGTGAATCTCCTCACCCCTCTTCTAGGCTTGTGAAGGGTTTATACCACCTCTAAATTACTTTAAAAGAAGACAAAGGTGAGGAGGCATCTTTCACTTCAAACTCATTGTTTCAGTCCCAGCCCTGACTTATCTTTGTGAAATGGTGGGTTCCCCCTCAGTCTTTCAGGATCTGCATGTTGAGACACAAAATGGAAAGTAATTAAGAGGTTCAGTGGGAATGGGCTTCTTCAGCTGATGTAACATTTTCTAAGGTGTTTTTGAGACCTGGATGCTTCACAGTCAGAAAAGAAGGTTAAGAAGGAGATGAGAACAAGTGATAAAGCAAAGTCTGGGTCTGAAATGAAAGGCTGTTTAATAATAAGAAGGGTAAGAAGAGAAATGAGAATTTTAGGAGGAGCTGGGAAAACTATTCTATATTAAATTTAATAAAAACAACAGTTTGACCTAAAGTTACATGTTTGCATATAGTATGCAAGTCGATAATTTGAAAACTGTTTAGTTACAAAATGCTGTAGCTGACATAATTTATATCTGGCACTTTGGGCTACCTCATCACAGACCTCGCCACAATTCTAATTCTAACTTGGCTTTAAGAATTTAAAGTTGACTGAGCAGCCCTTCTTAAAATCAGCTTTGTCAGGTAGTCCAGGCTGCCCAGCAAGGAGCAGGCTTGCAGCAGGTGAGGTTGGTCACTCAACGTTCACTTGCAGCAAACCTCAGGAAGGTGGTGGATTGGGACATTTTCTGAGTTGGAATTATTTTTGTAGTTCTACACTTAAGTGCCTGTATGTAAATGAACATCAGCTTATATGTATATATATATAGATAGATGTATTTGAATTTTAAGTCTGTGCTTTTCTTTTGGTGTCTCAGGTGACTGAACAGAGATTTGGAATCAACATTCCTCATAAGTTCAGCGTCCACAACTACAAAGTCCCAACTTTCTGTGACCACTGTGGTTCCTTGCTCTGGGGAATCATGCGACAGGGCCTGCAGTGTAAAAGTGAGCAGCTGTAGCCTTTTCACAAAATACATCTGTTTTTGACTTCTGATGCACTGTGTGGGCTTGTTGTGCAGCTTTCAACAGAAAGCTGAGCAATGAATATCCATCTTTGCAAGAGTTAAAAAACCACTGATCTACTTTTAAATCTCTGGCTTCTAGAAGGACTCTACTTTGCATTCTCAGCACAGCTTTGTCTAACGTGCACTACTGAAAATATTCTTGGGTATTGCTGCTTCCTGCATCCACTTTTCCTTTCACCTGAAGGTTTTTCTTTGGCTAATGAGATAAGGCAGTGAAAATGCATCCAGGGGGGGAAAAAGGTCATTGCTTTGTGTTGACTGCCCTGTCTGTGATGCTGTTAATTGATGACAAAGCATGTCCTGGTGTTAAGTTTTTGTTTCAGTGATCCAGACTGTAAAATCTTAACAGTCGCCCTTTGCCTTCGTTTCCCACAAGAGGGAGTGCGTGTGTCTGAATGAAAGAAAGATTTTAGTTTCCCACTGAACAATATATCTTTAAAATTAGATACCTGCAAATGCAGGGGAAGTTTGTTGCATATTCTGTGGCATTATAAATACAAATTTTTTTTCTGCAGGTGTAGCTGCAATGGCATTTACATACCTGACAAGCTTTTGAATAGCTGCAGGCACTGTGGAGACTTTGGGGTCTATTTCTCATTTTCAGGAGTTTATTCTCTTATGATAGACCTAATTTTGTTAATTTTGATATCAGTGGCAAAAATCCCTTAAGTTTAAAGACACAGAGTAGATCCAGGTGGGTCTATTTCCTGAAGCAGAAATGCTAAATTATTTCTCAGCAATAAATCATTCCAAGTTCTTTTAATTGTTCCTTTGCTTTTATTTTCCATCCCTACCATCACCCCTGCCAGTCTGTAAAATGAACGTCCACATCCGATGCCAAGCCAACGTTGCACCAAACTGTGGGGTGAACTCAGCAGAGCTGGCTAAAACCTTGGCGTGCATGGGTCTGCAACCAGGAAGCATTTCCCCAAATTCGGTGGGTATTTTTCTTTTCTATTTTTTTTTTCCCCCTTCTACTGTTTAAAACATTTACAACTGAGTCTTTAGATGGGTGCAGGAGAAGCCAGAGACTTGACTTGCAGCAGACAGCCTTGGGTGGTAGACTGCATGAGTAGGTTGTTACTATCTGTGGCTTGTGGCAAACATTTCACCTGGAAAATTGATTTCTTTTATCCAGGTTTACAAGAGGCTAAGGGTCTATAGATGTTCCTTTGTCTGCTTAGGTTTCACAGCGGTGTGACTCCACTGACTCTTTTATCCATTTAGCCATGAATGAGAGGAGAAAAAGACCCCAGACTAATTATGGCAAACATAATTCATGCCATACCTTTCTTACCTTTCCCAGGAACACAGATGCACTGTCTGTGTTAAGTGGCTTGGAATAGAGCATAAGAGAGGCTGAGCAGGAGGCCTAGGTTCTCTTTCCTGCTTTGTTGCTGTTTTTCTGAGTGATTTTTGGGGAAATAGTTTCACTCCTCACTACTGTTTTCCCAGCTAAAATCTATGGTCCCTGTCAACACATTATCCTCTCTGGTCTGTGCTGTCCAAGGCAGAGTTGTAGTGAGCTTGTTGCCAGGTTTGGGACACATGCATACAATTTCTGCTTGTCAGTACTTAAGGCACCCTAAAAATCCAGCTGTTGTATATCTTAGTCTGTTTAGAACACACTGTAAGAGCTTGAGTGAAAATGCCCTTAAAGGGTAATGAAATCAGAGTTGTCACTGGGTAACAAGTTTCATCACGTTTCCTTTGCAAGCAGTTTTCAAAAATGAGTTTGCTTGAAACCACAATAACCGATAACAAAATGTTGGTCTGTTTTTATTCAACCAAAAAGAAAATATTAAAACCTAAACCATACTTGCCAGACCTGATAAGTCATGTTGTACAGTTAGTTTGGCTGTATCAGTTGATTGCATGATGCTGTATCAGCCCAACTTCCTCATTTGGGTTGTACTGCCCCTTTTGATTTCAGTTGGTTTGTAGCAAGTGAGACTTTATTCACTCATCATGCTGTAGCAGTTCAGGGGGACAGTTATTGTGGGAGTTACAGGGAAACACAAGTCCCACATTCCCTTCTCAGTTCACTAAAAAAAAGACCCTTGTTGGCGTTTGTTTGCATAATCTGGACATCAAAAGGAGATGGACCAAGAAAATAAAAATCTGTGCTTGTTGTTTATCACTCTTCTCGTTATTTGTGGGCTCAGGGCTCTAGGTAAGTGCTCAGACTGTGCTGTAAGCTTAAATCTGCTGGGAGTTTTACTGGGTGCTGTCCTGAATGCACTGGGACCTTTTCCCATGACTGGGAATGCCATTTCTGTGGCAGACAAGTCTTCTGTGCAGGAAGAATTTTGCTTTACACCAAAGCAGTCACAAGGTGGAGCTCAAGAAATCCCTGTGACTTTGCTCAGGCTAATAAACTGAATAAAAGTACTCTTGGTTTATATGTGTACTCATACCTGGAGAGCTGTGAACAGAGGGCACAAGAGGTTGAGGTTGACGTTGACTTGATCTTTGCAAAAACAGAAGCTCTATAAATGTGTGCTAATGGTGGTACAATCCCTGAAAATGCAGACACCTCACTGCTTCCATGGGAGTGAACAGCTTTCCAGTGAATTTGCAGCAGTGGAGGGAGCCAGCAGCCCAGCTGTGGGAAAGAAAGATATTTTGAAGTTTAGGTCCTGCTGCACGGGACTTTGACTAAGACTTAAAATCAGATAGAAACTTAAGAGATTCAGATGAAATCTGCTCAGGTTCTAGATCTCCCCAGCACTTGCATATTGCAGAAATTATGCAGACCTCCTGCTTGCTCTCATGTTAGATAGGAGACTTGGATTTCCACACTCATTGTCTTGTTTTTCTGGGGAATGAGGATGGAGAGAGGCAAGCTTGCCACTTGGATCTGCTGGGCAGTGGGTTTATAACTGAAAATGAGCAGGTCAGGAACCAGTGTTGACATCTCAGCACAGTTCTGTGCAGTGCCAAGGTTGACCACTCACACATAACAGCTACAAGGGGTGATGGTACCAACATGCTTTCTGTTCCAGTGGCCATACAGTGCATCTGAACAGGTCCTAAATGCCAGGTTGGTAGATTGACTACCTAGGAGCACCTCTGAGGCAGAAGTACAGTTTCACAGAATCGTTTAGGTCGGACAAGATCTTTAAGATCATCAAGTACAACCATTAACTGAACTCTGTCAAGTCCACTGTTAAACCATGTCTCTAAGCACCATATCTATGCAACTTTTAAACATATCCAGAGATGGTAATTCAACTACTTCCCTGGGCAGCCTGGTCCAGTGCTTGATAACCCTTTCAGTGAAGAAATTTTTCCCGATATCCAACGTAACTCTCCATTTGTATGCAGACTGATACTTACTTTCTTCCACAGAAACTGGTTGCAAGATCTACTTTGCGACATCAGGGAAAAGGCAGCCTGAAAGATGGCAACAACGTTAGCGAAAGTTCAGCTAGCAAACTTGGGATCAAAGACTTAACCTTCCTCCGTGTCTTGGGAAAGGGCAGTTTTGGAAAGGTGAGATGGTTTTGTGGCTCTTTTGGGGGAAACCATATTCCTTATTTAGGAAACTCTGAGACAGGTGAAGCTGTTTCCTAATGTGGCACACAGGCAGCCCAGCGCATTATGCTTTGTGCAACAAGGCTGGCTACAAAGAGCAGGGAGAAAGTAAGCTGGCAGCGACGTGAAGAATATGATATCACAAAAAAAAAGAAAAAAAACTAGCAATGAAAGGAAGAGCTGTATGCCAGGGCCCATGCCAGAAATTGCAAGTGTGTGCATTAGCACTCGTTTGAGCAGCGTTTCTTGGGGTGTGTAAAGGCTTTTCCTTTAAAGGAAACAAGGCAGGGATCTCAAATGCAGTGAGGTGGGGGTTTCATTTCTTGGAGTTTGACCCAAAGCCAGTGTGACACGGTTCATTGGAATTTGCTAACGGAGGAGGGTAGTGGAATGGGTGGCACTGCTCAGGGGTTTACCCTGGCACAGTAGATGAGCTTCAACCAGGTAGCCCGTGCCAAACGCTGGAGCAATGTGTGGGGGTGTTTCTGTCTGGAGAAGCCTGTTGCAGACAGCAGCATGTTTGCCATCAATTGTACACTGCTGCCCATACTAACAGGCTGACTCACTTGCACCCACAAGCCTGGTCAGGAGATAACTGACCTTTGGAGTGTGACAAGGTGCGAGACGCTCTGTATTGCTCATAGGGACTGAGGGCTTGGCTCTTATGATTCACCTTCCCCTTTGATTTAGGTGATGCTTGCCAAGATGAAGGAGAGTGGGCAGCTCTATGCAGTGAAGGTGTTGAAGAAGGACGTCATTCTCCAAGATGATGATGTTGAGTGCACCATGACTGAGAAACGCATCCTTTCCTTAGCAAGGAACCACCCATTCCTCACCAAGCTCTACTGTTGCTTCCAGACGCCTGTAAGTATAGCCCAGGCATATATGCACTGGCTGGCATGTTCAGGACAGAGGCACTCTCCTGTGTATATAGCCTCTGTCCTGTTAAAAATGTTCACCTTAGAGCCAGGAGAAACCCCTCTGCTCAGGGATGAGCAGAGCACTCTGCTATACTCCACCTCTAACATCTGCTGGGTGTCTGAGCATTTCCCAAACAAAATTCTGGCTTGGTCTAAGCTCCCTAATAAAATTGTAATAACAGGGAAGCCTTTCTAGAAACATCTCTGCCAGTGATTGTTCCCAAATACTTACAGACCTACAGTGTCCTCCAGTTGATGTGGGATCTCAGGCTTTCTTGTCTTGATACCTGAATTTTAACAGGACTGTATTTGCATTGAATTATCTGCAAATTCAATGAGTTGTAGTCAGAAGCAGGTGTAGCCCCCTGTCTCTACCAGCTGTTGTGTACTGCTCAGAACTGAAGGAAAGATCATCCTGGGGTTACTGGAAAGGATCTTACCAACATGGGTGGACACTGAATCAGATCCATATACAGCTGGTATTTCTTCTTGTGTGGATAAAACAAATTACAGTATTGCTGTCATTTGTGGTATGTGTACCTCAGCAGAGGACTGCACATGCGCTGCCTGTCCAGTTTAGAACCTCCTCTGGTGTGTGCCTGTGGGTGGGAGCTTGTTGCTGATGTGGGTGATGGAGGGAGGAGTGGCTGTGTAATGGTTTGAAAACAAACC